ATTTATTTGAGAGAGAGAGAATGAGAGAGAGCACAAGAGTGGGGAGGGTCAGAGGGAGAAGCAGACTCCCTGCTGAGCAGGGAGCCCCTTGTGGGACTCGATCCAGGGACTCCAGGATCGTGACCTGAGCCGAAGGCAGACGCTTAACCAACAGAGCCACCCAGGCGCCCAGTCCTTTTCTTTTTTTGAAGATTTATTTAGAGAGTGCACGTGTGCACGTGCAGGGAGCGGGGCAGAGGGAGAGGGAGAATCTCAAGCAGACTCACCACTGAGTGTGGAGCCCAACTTAGGGCTTGATCCCACGACCCCAAGTTCATGACTTGAGCTGAAACCAAGAGTCCCAATACCCAACCATCTGTGCCACCCAGGCGCCCCAATCCTTACTTATGTCACTTCTTTTGTTTCTGATTTTGATAATGTGTGTCTTCTCTCTTTTCTTGATTAAGTCAGCTAAAGGTTACCAATTTTGTCAGTCTTTTCAAAGAACTAACTTCCGATTTCACGGATTGTTTTTTTCTCCTCGTGTTTATCCTTTTTCTGTTCTGTTGATGTCCCCTCTCATAATTATTATTCCTCTACTTCTGATTACTTTGGGTTTAATTTGCTCTTTTTCTTGTATAACAACCTAGAAGCTTTGATTATTGTTTTGAGACCTTTTCTGTCACAAGCATTTAAAACTCTACATCCCTTCTATCACTGTTTTAGCTGCATATCCCGTACTTTCTCATATGTTCTGTTTTTATTTTCACTCTTTTCAAAATATTCTTTCATTTTCCTTGTGATGTATTCTTTGAGCAAATGGGTTATTTAAAAGTATATTAATTTTCAAATATTTGGGGTATTTTTCAACTTTCCTTATATTGTTGATATATAATTTATTTTTTTGTAGGCACTATACATACTTTGATTTGAGTATTTTAAAATTTATTGAGACTTGTGGCTTAGCATAGAGATAGTCTTTCTTGGAAAGTGTTCCATGCTCACTTGAAAATTTGATTGTGTGCCTGATCTTGTGGGGTGGAGGGCTCTGTCGCAGTTGTTGGTTAGATCAAGTTGGTGGGCGGTGGCAGCCATCAAGTCTCTATCCTTGCTGATTTTCTTGCTAGTTCTATGAATATTCAAAATAGAGTATCGAACTCTCTATAATTATTGAATTATTTCTTTTTTCAAGACCGTCAGCTTTTCTTTTATGTCTTTTGGGCTCTGTTGTTAGATATGTGTATATACGTTTATAATTATTGCATCTTCAGGATGTGCCAGTCCTTTGTCATTATGAAATTTCTTGAAAGAGTTGTTGTCTTCAAGTCTGTTTTGTCTGATACTAATGTAGCTATTCCAGGTCTCTGATTTCTGTTTGTATGCGTACCTTTTTCTGTCCTTTTACTTACAGCCTACTTGCATCTTTGAATTTCTTTGAATATTGTTTTCCTCCCACGCTTGCCCTCCTTCCTCCTCTGGGGCTCCCACCTCATCCCTGTCTATGTACTTGGTGGTGTTTTGCTGGGCCTCTGAGGCCCTGGGCATTTTTCTTCAATTTTTATCTCTCTGTTCTTCAGACTTTTTTTTTTTTTTTTTTTTTAAGAGTTATTCATTTGTTTTAGAGAGGAGAGCATGTGTGCATGTGCACGTGAGCAGGGGGAGGGGCAAAGGGAGAGAGAATGCTCAAGCAGACCCCCTGCTCAGCAGGGAGCCTGCCGTGGGGCTCTATCCCATGACCCTGAGATCACGATCTGAGCCAGGGTCAAGAGTTGGATGCCCAGGCACGCCCCCAGACTAATTTCTGTTGATCCATCCTTCCGTTTACTGCTGCTTTATTCTGCCATCTCTGGTCTGCCAGTGTTGGAGAGCTGTAAGGGATTTTCCATTTCAGTCATTGTTCTTTTCAACTCTAGAATTTCTCGTTGGGGATTTTATTTTGTATAGTTTTTAATTCTTACTGCAATTATCTTTGAGTCATTATCATATTTTCCTGTATTTCTTTAAATGTGGTTTGCTTTAATTCTTTTTTTTTTTTTTTTAAGATTTTATTTATTTATTTGA